ATGTTTAGCAAGATCTACGTAGACCTTTCAGGTGAGCCCGTACTAACAGCATTCAGTGTATTGTAGAAGGTGTTTTTTTTACTTAGTTCAAGTAACCAGCTATCTCGTGTTTTCATCGCAGGATTGTAAGTCCACATAAATAATACGTACGACGACTATAATGATATAAAGATGGCAGCACTATCTAAATCATGATTCACATTCGATGTGAGTCGTTTATTATATACAATATATATTTACAATATTATATATACAATATGTATAATTTTTATTTCGTTAAATTTGTTTTAGATACGGACCTGACGCCCAAGGACCCACAGTGGATCGGTGCGTGGTGGCTAGGCCTTCTAATACTTTCTGGCGTCACGTTCGCCTGCGCTCTGCCATTCGCTCTGTTTCCTAATCACCTGAGATCGAATGCGACAGCTCGCGATGTGAGTGCATAACCTGTGTTCAGTGTGTTATTATCGCAGCCGTGGATAAAACCTACCCCCGAGGTAGAAGTTTCAGTGTGAGATCGTATCGAAAATGCTGGTTTCTCTTAGGTTAGGTATAGTACGATTCATCTATCTCGACAAGAAATTGGTATTGCAGATTGCGTGTGATAATTTTGTAGAGAATGTTTTTGTGCTTTTTTCGTGATGTCGTGTCCACATGTGTCTTTTTTGTATGCGTGATTTTTTGTGGTGAAAGGTACGTCAGACTCCATCATATAGACGACTTTATCAGAAACCGTCAGAAGCATTGCGTGGTAATTTTGATGTTGAACCCGGTGGAAATGAGTTCCATCGAGTGAGAAGAATATTCCCTATACACGCGTGGATGTACGATTGTGGCTCTTAATTTCCTGCAGAAGTCTAATGAAGCGGTAGAGCACATTGACTGTGACCTACAAGAGCACGAGAAGGGCGAGGAGATTGCTGAGATGATATACTACCATCCGAGAGGTATAAACACCTCTAACACATATATCCTATAATACACTTACATACCTACAATAATTGTTATATATACTCACGATAACTATTATATATACTCGCAGTAATCACTACATATTCTACTCTCGTGTAATCAGGAGTCGATCAATTGATCAACTCCTGGTGTAATGATAATTCCTGCATACTATAGAATAATATCAAAAGCTCATAATCTACAGAAGAAATGCGTAATTAAATTCATCATGGGTAAACCGAGAGTAGTAGACGTTGAAATTGCAACGTTTTAGCGTCGCGTACGCTTTCCGTAATCATGAGCTCTCGATTATATATACGCGCACGTATGTACGCACGCGTTGCTCTAACCTTGCAGAGTTTCTACGCGCTATGAGGCGTCTGCTCACCAACGGTCTGTACGTCTGCGTCGTGCTGGGCGTCTGCTTCCAGTTCTACAGCATCATTGGCTACTTCGCCTTCCTGCCGAAGTACCTCGAGTCTTACTTCGGCACGACGACGGCCGTCTCGAACAGCGTCGTGGGTGCGTACTGGTGCGGGGGCGCCACGGTCGGTTATACTTCGCAGCGCGCGAGCGGATGTTGTTAGTGTTTCGAACGCTGATCTCAGATCTTGCCATCTTATATATATGCACCTTACATCGCACGTGTTTGCCCTTATATGTCGCTCCTTTGCCTACAACCAATGCCCTACGTGACTACATTTGCCTACAACTGGCACCCTACTTGACTACCCGTGTGTACAACCTCCACATTACTAGACTACCCGTGTGTACGTCCTGCCACCCTACGCACTATCGCTAGCCTACGTAACTATATTCAGCTTGTTCTGCTAGCATCTATGACAAATACGACATACGCATATACGCTCTCCTATGACACTATTTGTTATAGGAAGATTCTTTAAGTTCCCATGACAAATATTGTTGTATGTGTTGTGCGCATCATAGGAGTTTAGGAGCGCTATTATGAACGCAAGCAGTGAATTTCAGCTGTAAAGCGGAACGAAGTTGACTCGCCAATATTTGTCATAGGAAGAATCTTTCTGTGACAAATAGTGTCATAGGAGAGCGTGTATGCGTATGTCGTATTTGTCATAGATGCAAGCAGAACATGTTGTGTATAAATTGTTGCCGTTTGTTACGAGGTTTATGTGTACATCTTGTTGAGAATTAACCCCCCTGGCTACGGTAGTACGGCGGCTTTAGTATTTTTTTGTATTTGTCATAGATACCAGCAGAACATGTTACTATATATTGCAGGTATGATCGGCTGTGTGACTCCCAGTATCGGGCTGCTGTTGGGCGGATGTTTCATGCGGCGGCGCCACCTACGTCCGCGAGGCTCCTTCATGCTCGCCTTCGTTAGCATCTTCATCTACATCGCGCTGCTCATTCCGATGATGCTGCTGCCGTGCGACGACCTCACGCACGCGGGACACTTCAGTGATGCCGGCAGGTGAGGTGTGTGTGTGTGTGTGTGTGTGTGCGTGTGCGTGCGTGTGTGTGTGTGTGTGTGTGCGTGTGTGTGTGTGTGTGTGTGTGTCTGTGTGGGGGGGCTG